AAACGAACAATGACATTTTAAGCAGCTTGCCTTGCAAACAAAGTGATGTTGTTTTCCTTGGCTTGAATTATATATGTGTCACATGGTTACTGTGGCTGTTGAGGATGATCAGCTGAGGTCTCTCAGGATGAAAGTGTTTCAGGAAGTGGTGCTGGAACCACTCAACATCCAAATGAGACCCCCGAGACTGTTGTATGCCTGCATTCCCTTGGAGGTCTTCCTCTTTATAATTACCTTTCGGGAAGTACTATCCATGGCATCGTTAACTGTGAGGTGAGGTGAGGTGAAATGGGGTTTAACGTCGTGCTTGAGAATATTTCGCTCATATAACGACGTGCATGCGTGTGTATGTGTATGTGCGGCTGCTTGTACTAGCCCAGACTTAAGCTGGTTTTATAGTGCTAGCCCACTGAGATACCATGCCGCAGTGAAGCATGAATATCCCACTCAGACACATTATACTGACTCCGAGACGACCAGTCCTTGTTGTACCCATTAGTGCAGAGCACCAGGCGGGGACCAACAAGTATCATATTTTAACGTCTTTTGGTATGACACGGTCATGGATCGAACCCGCGACCTTCCGCTCTCCGGGCGGACGCTCTAACACACTACACCACGGAGGCGGTCTCGTTAACTGTGACATGATCGCGGTTGTTGTCAACGCGACAAGGGACGTTCTTAACGCCACACTCTGAAAGGACTTGGACAGACAGACAGATTCCAAGCCACTGAGGCTGAACACCCAATAATTTATCATGTTGCCTCGTACGACACGTAGCGGTTGATTGGGACCTATTGTAAGTTGACATTCCCAAGGTGCATAATGTACGCTCAATGAATTTCCAGTAGGTCAGATAAAACAAAGTGTTCATTGGTAAACCGTACTGTGACCGGTTTATAGTTAGAATCATCAAGAAAGACAACAAAAAGAAAAGCTCAGCTGATTTTAGCATTGATAGAAGAAGATTTTCTGTATATTTTGAGGATTTGAACACATTGTGATGAATTCAGCAGAAATAATTAGCCATCTCCAGCGTCCTCATTTTGACATTTTCACAGCAGCAGATGTTTACACAGCCAAAGATAAGTTTTAAAGAACATAAGAGAATGGCCAAAATCTTCGGAGGAGAAAGTTGGAACTTAGAACCTCGTCTTGCTATCATGGCGATCACTATATGTCAGCCTTTGTGACCTTAAGTTTGGAGAATAATAATATTTTTGAAGACTAGTTTAGTTTCATTGAAAACAAAGGATGGCTATTGTATCAGTGTCTGTGTCTTGTAGCAGTGTCACACGATCACAAAAAAGTTTCACTGCATCCGTTTTGCAAAGACGTGAAAACGGTACATGTTTATGACGTTATGAACAAAGACGACAATGACGGGCCATTTGAGACGATATAGGTCTTTCCAATCAAAACTTTGACAGCTGGTTATTCATTTCTTATTCTATTCAAACACCAAAGGCAGTTTAATGCGCGTTCCTATTACTTATGCAAAAGAAAGCTTTACCTTGAAAATACCAGCTCAGTCTGACACGATTAGCTTGTGGCAGTGCTTTCCCTTCGACGGCAGTTTCAAAAAGTGTTTCCGAATATGTAGGAGTTTTTAAAAGAACCACATTGAACCATCAGCTTATGGATACGTAAATACTAATGTGCATAATTTGACATTCCTTATGCCTTTACACGAAACTATACGAAGGTAATAATCCATATTTGAGTGTGTCTATCGATGTGTTGTACTTTGATTTACATAATGGCCTCGTCTGATTTATTTGTACAGAAAATACATCCTATACATCTGCAGGAGGCGCTCTGGGATAGCCTAGTGGTTAAAGCGTTCGCTCGTCACGCCGAAGGCCCGGGTTCGATTCCCCGTCGTGATTTTGCTGGAATATTGCTCAAAGCGGCGTAAAACGTAACTCACTCATCTGCAAGAGAGAACTGTTGCATTACTCCCCATTCGTTTCATGCTTGTGCAAGAAGGTATTTGGGTTTTGTATTAACCACTCCTGCAAAAGTGTCATGCTTGGTTTTTTATGGTCCTTACTATACACAATATCATTACATCAGAAGAGCGTGTTTTACGGGCATACCAACTTTACTAGATCGTAATTTGTTACTAACTGCAGCATATCACAGATGAAAGTATTAATTGTGAGATTTTAAGGGACGCTTATATAAATTCGTATTGAAAAAGTAACTCATGTAATGTCAAGTTTTGGTTAAATAATTGAAAATGTTATTTATTTGTTGTGGATGAGAAAAACAATCCCCTTGTGACATATTATGTGACTCTCATATTGATATGATTCATATGAGTGAGTGAGTAAGTTTGGGTTTACGCAAATATTCCAGCAATATCACGACGGGGACACCAGAAATGGGCTTCACACATTGTGCACATGTAGGGATTCGAACCCTGGTTCGAACGCCTTAACCACTATGCTACCTCACCATCCCTAATTTATATGAGAAAACGTGAGGTTACTACTACGTATTCATTTTGTACCAAGGTTCAACAAAATATTACTAAACGTCTTTTTGACGCCATTGGACTTGTCTCTTCAGAAAATATAAATGTGACAAACCTCTAACATATGGGTGAGTGAGTGAGTGAGTGAGTTCATATTTAACGTCACATAGGCAATATTTCAGCCATATCGTGACGAGAACATATTTGTCATTGAAATGGAACATGTGGATATTATATAAACCTGTCGTCAAAGGACAGTAAAGCAACTAGAATAGCACAATTAGAATTAAAACTAGCGCGGAAAGTTAAAACTAATAGTACTATTTGGAAAATACAATATAAAAACAGGCTATAGATCGCCAACAACCGAAGGTAGATCACCATACTAGGGACCATGGGGACTTATAGTACCTTGCTCTAATACATGGGCGAGAATTGAGAACAACGACGGGCGTTTCTCTTGTAAATCCTAAATTCAATATCGCAATACAATAACCGGAATAAATCTATGTCTATTAAACACTGAAAGTGTTTATGAGTGATGGTTACGAAGATAATTGTCATGTATCTCGCGTGTTTTACTTTCATTCAGTTAAGAAAATTACTCCTTAAAGCAAAAATAGTAAGTCCTTAGTCTTGACCCTTCAGACGCGTCATCTTAACCGGCATGTTACACGTTGTCTTCAAACTCCGAAAAACACCATTTGAAGTTGAACTTTCAATCATAATATTCTCAGAATAACATTGTTTTCATTTGACATTCTAGGAGAGCCCCTATCCTGTTCGTTAACGGCGATTAAATATATCAACTTGTGAGGCTGCTTGTTCGGGAGACATTCCATCCGGAAAGCTTATTCCCTCCTCGCAATACCACACAGCAATAGCACGAAAAGTGTAAACAGTAAAGCCTTCACGCACGTCAATGATAACTAAGTATGTTGGCCAATATTTAAATACATCGCACAAGCGTTAGTGTATGTACCTAAAGGAAATGCAGTAACGGTTAAAGTCAACATGAATTAATTGTGGACAAAGTGCCTTCGTGAGAATACTACTTTTCCAGAGATCTGTGTTTGTTTCAAAAAAAGCATGGTCATTATTTATAGAGGGTTTACCTTTCTCCCTGAAGATATGACGTAGTCTGAACATTAAAGCAGTCCCATGTCATGTGATTTATTATTTGTTTACATGTTCAATCAGCACGACCTCTGTATGTTGAAAGATTAATGTACATAATGTTTCTGACTACAACTGCCTGACGACATGACTAATGACACTGAAGTCACTCAGTGCCTCAACAGTCATCGCGTATATCACCAGGTGTTTGAAGCAGAACGTCTAACACATGTGTTTTGGGTAATGTTTGTCTCAGGTTCGGTCACCTGTAAATTGTCTATTGATTTCAAAGTGGCATAGTGTCACGGTTCACGGTTGAAATGAACAAATGAATGTTTCAACGAGCCAATGCAGTCAAGAACAACCGACAAAACACTGGCATTAACCCAAACACTTACTGTACAGAAAAAAACTAATCCAGAAGCACAGAACATATACTAAGTTGCGAAACAAGTTTTGAAAAGTAAAGCTAATACTCCAAAACTAAACTGTATAGATGAATATCATTTACAACAAAACTAGCCTCAGACAGTATATCAACAGCTGTATTGTTTTGGACCGCAGACATTTGGACCTCAGACACTGCTCTCGCACAGCTGAAATATTACAGGATGCGACGTCAAAGAACAAACACACCTTTAATGTTCCACTATTAATACTATTCTTCATGACTAACTAATACTACAAAACTAAACTGTATAGATGAATATCATTTACAACAAAACTATTCTCAGACAGTATATCAACAACTTTATTGTTTTGGACATCAGACATTCCACTTGCACAGTTGGAATATTACTGGATATGACGTTAAACAACCAACACACCTTTTATGTTCCACTGTTAATACTACTCTCCATGATATTCCAGGAGACGTTGGAACATATTCTGACATTTCTTTAGGTGAATGAATTGTGTCGAAAACATGATCTTCACTCAACCTCTGATCTTGATGTTGTGTGAGGCATATGATGGAGACTGTGTTTACCCTATTATCAAGTCTTTAAACCTTTCAAAAATCAATTTTTATACTGTATTATACTGGTTGTACCAAGAGATTCTAGACCCGAAGGCATCTATACATGAAAATATGCTCAAAACAGAAATATTCTATTGTGTTTACAAGAGTGTTGAAATGTGTATCCAAAATACAATGAATGTAAACAAATTGATAATAAGAACCAAAGTGTCAAATGAGTTCATTCAGTAGTTAAAATCGTGTGACCTACCGTTGAGGAGGGATGAAGGGATATAGTGCCGTTAGCAGAGTCCAAGCTGCCAAAGAATGTACTAGTTACAAGATGGTGAAGTACCTGTCAGATTTCAGAGAATCTATTCACTTGAGTAGGGTTGGGTTTCAGAGATCTATATTCACTTGAGTAGGTTGGGTGAAGTACATTCCAGATTGGATAGGAATGACTGAATCTCGGATCAAAGAGGGAATGGAGAGAGATCACAGAGATAAAAGTGGAGAGGGTGTGGTTCCGTGATTATCCGAGATAGAGAGGTGGGGTTACATGATTAACAGGTAGGGGTGAGTTCATTGAATGTCTAGATATAGCGTGGGTGGTTTTCAGCGAATGAAAATGATAAGACAGGCTCCAGACAAGATGAAAGAGGTAAGCTAAGTATCAGTCCCCTTTTGGAATGATCTGGAGGATGGATGAGCACCGGATCTAATTATATATTATACTCATATTATAATTTTCCAGCCACATCGTGTAAGAGTTTGCCAGCTCTGTGGCAACAGTCTGTAAATAATCGAGTCTAGGCCAGACAGTCCAATGATTGAGATCATGAGCAATGATCTACGCATCTGGGACACGGTAACATTCAGTACCCAATTCTGCAAGTCTGACCACATGATCCCATTGGTCACCTCTTACGACAGCATGGGTTGCAGTAGACCAAATCAAAGATTTATTGCCGAAAATCTTCATGGGTATCATGTAAAAGAAGTGTCACAACTAATTACCTCAGTGGTGTAAGAGGAAGGTTTGCAAGCATGAACAAATCTTACGTGGTTCGTTAAAGAATAATATTGCATTAGTTCCTTGTTTTCCATCTTAGACACATAAATTCATCACGTCATCTTTCATCTCCTTATCACATATATAGTTAACATCATGATCAGTGAGACAGTTAAATGATGACCATCCTTGAAGATATCCTGTCAAAACGCCACACTCCTTGCCATTTTCTGGATGAGTGGACTTCCAGGCCGTGAAAGGTCCAAGTGTTTCTCCGTTGCTCCATTTCCAAGTTCCAGAAACTTTACGAAGCCCAATCCACGACTTCTGATCTGAAACCGTAGAAAGATGATTTACGATTTTTATTAGAGCTATACGGAAGGAGCCAATAACTGGATTGTGAAAATGGATTTACAAAACAATAATTTCCAATTATTTATTCAATCTCCGACGGAAAGCGGAGGTGAAGTAGAGTGATCCTCTCGAGAAGAAGTGCAAAAATCCTGGAAAATGAATGAACAAGATTTCAGCTTTTGACTGCGCTTAGATTTGATTTACTAGTGCCCGTTTTCCTGTTCAGCCAGCGTAATACATGGGAAAGATTATACATGAATACTGAAATGTAAGTACAATTTATAACAAAATCCAAACCTCTACAAATCAGATAGGTTCAGTAGAATGAAGAAAGTTCATTGATGGCAACCTAATGCGTTCGTCATGCACTACATATCCAATTCCATAATGTTTGAAAAAAACATGCTTCCCAAATGGCTGAACTGTTGGCCATATATAAAACAGGATCGACATTTCGTGTTCGAGATATGACAGCACAGCTTATTCGTGCAACGTTTCTCCTCAGTCAAATCTGTAAACGCAAAAGATGGATATTAACACAAACAAACCGCTCCACAATATATCAGTTTTGATAACATAAATCCATTTGCATCATCCAGTGGTAAATTTGTAAATAAGTGGTAGATAAACACTATCGCAAGACAGAAGGAGTGAGTGAGTGAGTTTAGTTTTACGCCGCTTTTAGCAATATTCCAACAATATCACGGCGGGGGACACTAGAAAAGGGCTTCAAACATATTACCCCTTTTGGGGAATCGAACCCAGGTCTTCGGCGTGACGAGCGGAAGCTTTAACCACAAGGCTACCCAACCGCCCCTTCACAGAAGGAACATGTGATAACCACACAGAGATTAAAAATGTAAAGTAAAGTTATGTTTGAAAAAGGGTGAACAAAACAGATTTCTTTTTTTAAACTAAATTGTAGAAAAGGATGATGGATAGTATGAATTATATACATGCATAAGAGTCTCCCACCAAACTAAAGTCAGACTTTGCAATATGTGATCTAAATACGATATTTACCCACATGGCTACAATGTGTGAAACCCATTTATCGAGTCCCCCGCAGTGATATTGCTGGATGAAATCGGCGTAAAAATGAACTTACTCATTCTCTCACTCATATTCACCTGGAGTCAGATGTAATGTTAGAAGATGGTCGTTCTTCTCGGCAGTGTCGACGACAACAAGTCTTGCTCCAGCATCTCTACACAAGGTCTGTGCCATGGTACTGTTTACTTTGTAATCACTGCGCTTGTAGCAGAGATTAGAGGGAGGGTGGTAAATCCAGCCGTCTGATAACGAACATCCATCTGAAACAGTTTCATGGATAAACCAAAGTACAAACCAGACAAATCAAGTGTGTCCTCTTATTTGGGAAAGAGTTATTTGCGAGAGTGAATGGAAAGGGATTTCTCGCCGTTTATTAACCTCGGCAATATATTGGCCTCTTATAAGTAATATATAACTTTTGTTTGTTTGTTTAACGCCGCATGAAGAAATATTCCAGCTATATTACGTTTCTCTGTAAATAATCAAGTCTGGACTAGACGATCCAGTGATTGAAATCATGAGCATCGATTTACGCAATTGCCCTACAATGACATGTATCAACGAGCCCGACCACCCGATCCTGTTTGTCGGATGGGTTGCTGAAGACCAATTCTATCCCCGATCTTCACGGTCGTACATATCATTACTGACTCAGCTTCCCTACTGTTTTAGTATCTTTTGTAATTAACAATCCGTTTCATTTTTATTTCAAGTCCACTTTTGTTATTGCGGAATTCCTAATTTTTGTATTAACCCCACATGGTCATTTATTGACCCTTGTATGGTGTAACATACATCTTAACAACCACCTACCTAGATTCCAAGAGTACAGCTTCATTCCCGTGTTGGATGCCAACACAATGTTTCCATGGCGATATGTGTGCGGTGATATGGCACACTGGTGAGTCGCTTTGTTATAGAAGAAAGAGGAACAACCACTTGAGTAACACCGTATCGCACAATTGAAAATACTGTTTGTCACGGCTATATTGAGACTGTTGTCAAGAACATCAGACAGGACCACAGACAGCAATAACCCTGTAGCCATAGTACCTGCAACAATGCATGGAGTGAGTGAGTGTGTTGGGTTTGTTTCTTGCAAAGTTGGAAGCTGATACTACACAGTATAAGTGTTGTTGTTGATAAGCTCAATTTATATATTCTACATGCTTTCATGTCTGATACTACATACAAGAGGGACAGCCTTGACAGAGGAACATGATTGTGAATCGTACTGAGAAGCCATAAAGGTTGTGTTACCGGGAAAAAAGTGATGTTTTGCAGTATGTTGAGATTCAGGTTTTGGTATCATGCATCATGTCAACAGCCAGGACATAATTCAATAATTTAATAATTCCAACGATTCCAGACGCGTTTTGGTAACCGAAATTCTGAATCTTAAAACATTAGAGTTAAACACACACACCCTCTTAGCTAAATGACGAAAATGATATTCGTCCTGATATATAATCGATATAAACTGTCCTCTGTATCATGTCTTTTCGCAAATATCTTTTGAGGTTTTGATATGTATACATATAAGGGGGGTGGGGTAGGGGTGGGTTTCTAACGGGTATATCTAACACACTTGCATGCATGTAGAGTCGGAGAGGTGGGTGGGTGTTCGGGTATAACTACGAGGGACGTTCAAATAGTAGTCAGCCTTACCTAGAATATGATACAAATGCAGTTGTTTTTATGTTTTATTTTTCTACATATTATCTGTCAGCCTCAAGCAAATTGGTTTTGCTATGTTGCAGCCTCACGATCCCCATTTTGTGAGACTTTGTATCTTGGCTTGGTACTCACAAAAAACGTAAAATCTGCAATAAAATGCATCACAAACTTCAGGAAACAAAATATGCTATGTTTGAGATTGGTAGAAGTCGGCTAGAATCAAACTTAGATATTAAACTGCACAAAAAAAGCAATTTCAAAACTACAATCGCTTGTTCAAATGACTCCCCATTCTGTTTACTGAAAGAACTCGAGAAAGAAATGATGGATTTTGTTCACATTTGGTACCAAGGTTTATTGACTGGAGATTGGAGATTTACCGACACCACTTGAATTTAGTGACCTTGAGGTCAATTTAAAGGTCACAGCGAAAGTGTAACAGTTTTGCACATGCCAGGCTTGGTAGCCGTGAACTCAGGAAAGTATTAATAGATTTTGATCCAATTTTATATCAAGGTGTATTGGCGGGATTCCCCCAACACCAATTGATTGGGAAACTTGTGCTCATTTTAAGTTCACAGTGAAAAGTGTTTTGCACATGTCTAACTTTTTAGTGCGAAAATACAAGACAGAATTAATATGTTTTGCTTAAAGGTAGTACCAAGATGCGTTGGGAGTATCGTCTAACGCCAGTCGAATTCAGTGACCTTCGGATTATTGCTTAGAAGGTTGTGTCTATGCCTGCCTGTTGTTTCAGGAGTCGGCTGATTTGATGTGATGGTTTACCTATGTAGGGAATGGATATCTTGATGGGGGCTGATTCTGGTTTAGATCTTTTGGCAGGAGGTGAAAGCGTTGCTTCGATGGTTCTGTTGACTATTTCAGGTGGGTAGTGGTTGCGTTCTACAAAGACTTTCCTTTTTTCTTGTAGGTTTGTTGAGCAGATGTTTTTGGCTCTTCTGGTCAATGTAGAGATGACGCCGGTCTTGATTTTAGGGGGCCTTTTGACTTGACTGAAACAAAAGGCAGGCATAGACACAACCTTCTCAGCGTCCTCCAGCCTCAACAACCTCCTCCATGCCAACGGAAGAAAACAACCCACCGTCAACAACAACAACCCGAAATGTGTTATTTATAAAATAAACTGATTCTGGACAAAGCTACATAGGTGAAACATCCCGACCCATCAGCACCCGAGTCAAAGAACATCGCACCTCTGTTGCTAACTCCGACACCAAATCAGCTATCTCTGACCACATCAAAGCAAACCCCAATCATCAAATAGAGTGGTCCGACTTCACCATTCTCGCCAACAACCAAACGGACTTCACTAAACGCAAGCTCACCGAAGCCATTCACATCAAACGCCATAAGCCCACCATCAACCGTGACCAAGGATACTTTCATTCCATCAGCTTATGATCCACTCCTCCACCAAGCCCAATCTATTGTATAAACATCGCACCTATTGTATAAACATCTCCTTCATTGTACCACTCCTGTATTTATACATCTCTGGCTTCCATTCACTATCTTTTGTGTACTCACTGGCTTCATCAGCTTACTGTTTAACCAATTATGGCAATTATGTTGTTTCCTTTGTCAATTACAATGTATGTAGTTTCTTTGTTATACACAGTATAAATATGCAGCTCCTCCACTTCATGTATCACTCTTGCTTGACAACGGTACAAGAATCTGTATCGAAACGTCGCACTCACGAAATAAAGAAGTTGTTATCCATAAAAACTTGTTCCATATTGTACGTCTCAACTTCTAAAATGCCACTCAAACAAGTTAATGCTTATAACATACGAGGGCAAACATATCGGGGATAATTTGTTTTCATGCAATATGCACCGGGTAAAATATCACTTTGTCATGGTGACATGACATCATGAACAATGTTATGACGTCACGTTGCTTCCAAGAAGCCGCCTTCTAAATACAACGATGACGGGGAGCCTGCATTTGTTGGAAAGTAGATTATCGCGTAATTTCCGCAATTAAAGACTTCGGTAATAAATAGAAAATTATATTCGTGACCATAATATGCTAGGGTTAACGACCTAAATATCGGCATATCCCTTCTCTGGTTTCGAAAATACCAAGATTTAGGCAGTTGTGTTGTAAACTGATATTTATCTTCTATAAAGTCGGCTATATTCAAACCATGAGAAATGTCGTCAAATAATGTCTGATGACAGTTACCAACAAATAGTGTCCATATATTTTAGATATCTATAACAATAAAGCACAACCTCACTACTTTTTGATAAATGACAAAGGATTAATCAACCATATTAAAAGGTGTTCAGGCTTGAAGGACGAAGCTCACTAAAATCTATTGCCATCTCCCTTTTAGAGACTGATAAAAGGTTCGAAAATTTGGGTCATAAATGCATGAAAGTTTTTATTGTTGTTCATACCCGTTAGGCCTCCCGCCTCTACATGTAGTTGAGATATAACCGTTAGAACCACCACCACACCCTCTGTCTTAAAGTATGCTAGATATAACCGTTAGAACACACCACACCACTTTTCTGCCCATTTATTCAATTGGGCTAAATCATAGTTGAGAGTTGCTTCTATGGATTTTACATATTTTCCCGCAACGACGATTGATGTGTCATCGGCCAACATTATTGTGATATTTTGTAAATTTCCAGGTAAATCATTGATATATACAAGGAACACAAATTAACCAAGGGCAGATCCTTGAGGAACCCCTGCAGTAACATTTAGTTTTTCATAATGTTCCATTAACAGAGACACACTGTCGTCTATCAGGGCCCGGTTGTTCAAAACTCGGTTATCTTTAAACCAGCCGTTAAGTACATTTAACCGAGTGTTACCTAATAACAGAGGGTTATCTTGTTGTTCAAAACTCTGTTAACTTTTAACAGGCTGTTAACGTGACGTTAAGTTAACACACCTAAGGACCGCCGCTAACATAACTCGCAAATGGCGTTTATGGCTAACACTGCTTTCATGACGCCAGTTCAGCAAAGAAAGGATAGGGTGTATCGTGGACTTGACTTCGATATTGGAAATTATTCTGACGAAGAGTTACATACGAAACTGTAACTATGCACATCATAGGAACTAAAATACATGTTGTACAAGTACATGATGCCTACGTTTAATCTTTTAACACTTGTGGAAAGGTTTATATATGCTTTACTACACTAAATGTGTGAATTTCTTCTGTAAATATTATTCAAACAAACACTTTCAAAGAATATAACACGTACACCCTATACCCACGTATGATATGATATTGAACAAGGCTACATGTAGATAATTAAATTAGTTTCATGAAAAAATATCCGAACGATTATATTATGATACTGAAAGTGTAATCGGCGGGATATGGTGATTGTGTATGCTCTTATTCTACCGACCTTCACCTCAGAGAAATTGCCAAATACACTCCCATTTTAAGATAGAGAAGAAGCCAGAAATGCCGATTATTACCGTTGTCGTTCTGCGTGATTTTGCGTCAGTCATGGCGTCACGCAGCACAGAAACTTGACAGTTTCGTGTAACTACATCACATTCCTGTATTGTATCTATTTTTAATTTCCTATTTCTTGCTACTATGCTCTTTCCATGCAAATGGGTGTCTGAAAATTTGAGAAAATGCTACACAGTATAAAGTCTGAAATTTTCTTTGTTTACATTTCAAACAGGTGTTGTCTTTCGAGCACAGCAGTTGTTTCCACCCCCAATATCTTTCGTTTCACTTTATCTAGACACTGGGTATTGGTGCCAAAAAAACCCAGTTGTAATTAGATTCTAAAATGTATTAGGAATTCAGTAGGACTGGGACGAGTAGGAAACAATGGAATCGAGTACCCGCATGTACGTACCCGAATCGGAATCGAGTACCCGGAAATGTAAGAAATACATTCGGGTCAACTTTCTGAATATTCAATCACGATTTGACAGAGATTATTGTAGAAAACTTGAACAGTTGGTAATAAGACATTAAAACTGACCTCAAGCTATTTAATTTACGTCTGTTTAACCAATATAGAGAGTAACACCATTACTTACATTCCTCGTTATAACAACGAACGTTTTGTTCCTGCTGCTACTGTAACTTAACTATTCACTGCTCATGCACAGATAAATTACAGTAATTAAAACTATGCTCCATTAATCGGACAATACCAATGATGTAAAAAACCCGTGAATTTCCGGGTTAGAATATGGATCTTCAGTAACCCATGCTTGTCGTAAGAGGCGACTAACGGGATCGGGTGGTCAGACTCGCTGACTTGGTTGACATATGTCATCGGTTCCCAATTGCGCACATCGATGCTCATGTTGTTGATCACTGGATTGTCTGGTCCAGACTCGATTATTTACAG